TCAACCTAGACAAAAGGCACAAATGCTCTAAGGTAGAAAACTAGGGCAAAGGTAACTCCTCAGGGCTTAGGAGAAAAATCTCTTAAACTGTTTGTCCAAAGAACCAAAGCCAAAGGCCACATAAAGGAACTCATTTCACTATACATACAAAAACATGGGGATAATAAACACCAAATTCAGGAGGGTAATTAGTGCTGAGGAGAGAAAGGGGAGATGGTATCAGGGAGGCAAACACAGAGCACCTACTGCCTTGGAGGTTTTTTTTTTTTTCCTAGTGTGGATGCTAGCGTAGTGCCTAAGGCACTTGACTGCTAACCAGAAGGCTGGCGGTTCAAACCCACCAGCCACTCCTCGGAAGGAAGGTTGGGCAATCCTACTTCCGTAATGATACTGCCTCGGAAACCCAAGGAGGGGTCGCTATGAGTCAGGGCTGACTCGACGGCACATAACAACAACAAAGTGTGGATGCACAGCCACTCCTCAGAAGGAAGACTGGGAGCTCTGGTAGCGTAGTGCCTAAGGCACTTGGCTGCTAACCAGAGGGCTGATGGTTCAAACCCACCAGCTACTCCTCGGAAGGAAGGTTAGGCAATCTACTTCCGCAGTGATACCGCCTCGGAAACCCAAGGAGGGGTCACTTTGAGTTGGGTCCGACTTGACGGCACGTAACAACCACCACCACCTCGGAAACCCAAGCAGGGGTTGCTGTGAGTTGGATTTGACTCCACGGTAGTAAGTTTGTTTTTTTGTAATGTTTTATCATTACTGCTGTTTTGTATGTGTATTAAGATATTAAAAGTTTTCCATTTTATCATTTCACACCTACTAAGATGGCTGTGACTAAAAAAATGAAATTTGGAAAATAACAAGTGTTGGCAAGGATGTGCAGAAACTGGAACCCTCTTCCATGGCTGCTGGAATTGTAACATGGTGCAGCTGGGTGGAAGACAGTTTGGTGGTTCCTCAAAAAGGTGAACACAGAACTACCATAACCACCGAAAACTAAACCCACTGCTAGTGAGTTGATTCTGACTCACAGAGACCCTACAGGATGGAACAGAACTGGGTTTGCAAGGCTATTAATATTAAGTCTTCATGAAGGAAGTAGATTGCCCCTTTTTTTTCCCGCACAGTGGCTGGCGGGATTGAACCACCGACCTGCTGGTTAGCAGCCAAATGCTTTAACTACTATGCCACCAGAGCTCCTTAGAACTACCATAAAACCTAGCAGTTCCACTCCCAGGTATACTCCCAGAAGAAGTGAAAGCAGGAATACAAACCGAAACCTGTGTGTATGCCAATAATCGCTGCAGCACTAGCCACACGATGGCCAGAAGGTGAAAACAACTCAAGTGCCCATCAGCAGACAAAGGGGTCAACAAAATGTGGTGCACACATACAGCCACAAAGGGACATGCAGTCCCGATATACGCTACAACTGACCAATCCCCTCTGGGTAGGCCACAGACACGTCATCTGCACAGTAGGTTATAGTAACTTTATTTGCATAGCAGGCTAAAGTCACCTCATTTACTTAGTCTGGACAAATACTGAACACATGATGCTGAGTGAAATAAGTCAATCACAAAAGGACAAATACTATGTGATCTTATTCACATGAAGTATCCGGAAAAGACAAGTGTATAAAAATGAGAGTTTACTGTGGTTACCAAGGGTGGGCGGGAGGGAAGGGGCAAGGGGGACTCATCACTAATAGGACACAGAGCTTCTGTTAAGAGTGAAAAACAAATCTGGAAACGGACCGTTGTGATGGCTGCACAACACGATGAATACAGTGCACTGTCACGGAATTGTACATGTAAAAGTTGTCGAAATGGCGAATATTTTGTTACATATATATTTAAACACAATTATAAAAGAGTATCCAATTTTAGGGAGCTCTGGTAGCATAGTGGCTAAGGCACTTGACTGCTAACCAGAAGGCTGGCGGTTCAAACCCACCAGCCACTCCTCAGAAGGAAGGTTGGGCAATCTACTTCCGTAGAGATACTGCCTTGGAAACCCAAGGAGGGGTCGCTATGAGTCGGGTCCAACTGGACGGCACGTAACAACAACAACAACATCCAATTTTAGATTAAAAAAAAAAAAAAAAAAGCTAAGCCTCTTAAGTATAGGCAGTCTCCAAGTTATAAATGAGATCCATTCCCAAGCATGTTTTTAAGTCAAATTGAGGGTAAGTCAGAACAGGTGCAGAGGGTTCTTATTTAGCCTTGTTTTAGTGCAAGGAGGAGCTCTGGTGGCACAGTGGTGAAGGCATTCAGCTGCTAACCAAAAGGTCAGAGGTTTGAACCCACCAGCTGCACCAGCCACTATGCAGGAGAAAGATGAGGCAGGCTGCTTCTGTGAAGACTTGCAGCCTTGGACATCCTATGGGCAATTCTACTCTGTGCTACAGGGTTGCTGTGAGTCAGAATCAACTTGATGGCAGTGGTTTTTTTTTGGTTTGGTTTTAGTGAAAGAAAAGGCTCAAAGCCTTTTCAATGATTTAAATGCTGCACTTGCAGCAAGTGAAGGTGATGGTGATGCAGAACTTGTTTTGAGTAGGGGCTGCTTCAATTGTTTCAAAGTGAGGGTAAATGTACAAAAGAGGGCCCTATAAGGCAGGCGTCTGTAACCTGGGACTTAATGTACTTTAAAAAAGTACCCCCAAATGCTTCCCTAAACTGCACTTAAGTCCACTGCTTGGAGCAATCTCAGTATTCTGTAACAAGGGAGCCAAGGCTTGGCTATGTCACAAGACTTATTCCTGGAATGTCCCTGGTAACTGTCAAAGCCAGCCCCTATCAAGAATGGTAGCTGTCCTACACAAGGCCCAAGCTGCTTTGGCTCTTTGGCTACTCACCCTAACCTAATCTACTTGGTCAAAAGTAGACGTTTCCTAGGCCCCATTTATGGGGTAGGGAGCTGGCAGCTCAACCAGTGCAGGTGGGAGAGAAATCCACCTACTGTTCCTAAAGTTTAACAGGTTCATATATCTACACCAGCCCACAAACGACCCCTTTCCGCCTCCACCATGAGACTAACTTCAGTCTGATTTAATCTAAAGAAGGATGTCACAGGAGGAAAAATACCCTCCCGCATTCCACCTTTGGGATGGGATGGCCTGGAACCTTCTCTCTTCCTTCTAAACACTCTTAATAAGACACTTGTGCCATGATAGAAGATGATGCCTAAGTACCATTACTGAACGTTTTATCAGGGCTTCGAACCAGTTCAGTCGTGGCCAACACAACAAAACTGGAACCGACTTGAATTTGTGAAATGTAGATATACCAGGATGATAATCAGAACAGGAAAATTTACAAGTCAAAGCCCTGGAATGAGAGAGCCTGGAATGAGACTCAAAAGAGGCATTGTGAGCCCTTTCAGAAGCTTGATGCGAAGACTGGATTACTGTCAGGACTGTGGAAAGCAACATACTGTTAAAGCGGCATGGCAGGCTACTGGCTTTGGGCGGGGCACCACTGTTTCTGAAACTGTGTAAAGTCAAAACTCGACTATTTTCCCCACCCTGGTTAAGGCAGATAATTAGAACACATAGGACCCCAGTTGGGAATAAATAAATAAACGTAATTACCCTCAACTATTTCCCCACCCTGGTTAAGACTAATAGGACCCCAGTTGGAGACAGATGAGTAAACACATAGGACCCTGGTTGGAGACAGATGAGTAAATACAATAAGCTCAGTTCCTTAAGAACTGAATGGAACAAAAAAATGTTCTTTCCTGCTATTTCCCTAGGCATAGGTGATAAATGTGTAAATGTGTCTTAGAGAACAACTTGAAAATTAACTCTGGGCCGCGGACACGTGCAGTGGGACAGAAAGGAACAAAGTTACTGGGAACTGACACTCTCCGCTCTGCCTAAGCCCTGATCAGCTGATGACAGGAAGCCGGTGTGACTCAGCCGGTACACAAGCGCTTTGGATCAAAACGCTACTGTTCCTTTAACCCAAGGCGAAGGAAATTTCAGCCAATCGTCAACCATCTCACGCCCAAATGCCTCAAATTTTTATGAATATGCATAAGCCTCTCTTCTGAAACCTACAAAACTGTAATTCGATGGAGTTTTGGGGAGTCAGATCTGGTTACGGACCCCTGCCTCCTTGTAATAAATAATTCTCTCCTCTTAATCACTCGGTGTGTAAACTGTTTTGGCCTGACTGCACACCAGGCAGGGACCCATGTTTGGTCCTATTACCTTTCCACCATTGCTGGTCAAGAGATTTGGTTGCTATGCAATGTGCACACTCCTCTTGTTTTCTAAGAGGGAGATTACATTTCTAGCAGGGTGTCAACCATAATTTTTCCCATTCCAGTAATATCCACATTTTACAAATTTGGATCCATTCTGGATTCACTTCACTGGCCATGGCTGAACCACGAACTACTGGTTCAAAGCCCTGGTTTTGATCAAAGAATCTATCCAAGAAACATCCTGAAAAGGGGGAGAAATGCAGAACAGAATTTCAAATTCATATGGAATCCGGACATTCTGGCACCAGGGAGGCTGGATGAAGCCCCAAAACTACCACCCTGAGATAATCTTGAAACCTTAAACTAAAAGTATCTTCTAAGTCTTTAAACCAAACAAGAGTTTAGCTTAATTAGTAAACAATGACCTGCCTTTTAAGAACTATCTATATGGGTTCAAATGGACAGCTGCAGCTTGAAGGTCAGAAAGGAAACTTAGGGGGCACATTAACTTAGTGACTTAATGTTAAAGGGGGAGGAACAATTTGGAAAAGGAGGATGAGAATAGGTTGCACAACTCAAAAATGTAATCAATGCCCCAGAATTGTACATGTAGAAATTACTGCACTGGTGTGTATTCTGCTGTGTTCTTTTCAACAACAACAATAACAACAAATAATGTCCTCGGCTTCCCCCCTGCTATAGCCTGCTTTGTGGCGAACGGTTGAGCATCTCAATGCTGCATGTTGAACAAAATCTCCTGTAGACAAAAGCCGGCCACATACCTGACTCCTGGAGATACCGATACACCAAAAAGTTCACCTCGTCACTGGTTACGCTCATCTTAGCCTCACCTCACGGCGATGAGGTCTGTATGAAGCGGGAGCCACCCTCTGCAGGAAGGGGAGAGAAAAAAAAGGAAAAATCATTTTGAAACACTGTATGTGCATATATCTATATCTGTATATATATATGTGTGTATGTATCTATACAAATTTTTAAGCTGCATTTATTTTCAAAGATGGAAGAAAGTAATACAGGGATGTTACACACATGAAGGTAAACATTGTTTGATTTGAATTATATCCTGTCATTAGACAAAAAATGTATAATTAAATAGATACATTTTATAAACAATGACCCCAAGGCTAAACATTTCCCCAACAGACTACCATGGTACATTTTACAAGGCCAAGATACAGTAAGTTATAAAGCAAACTCAAGAAGCCACATCCAGGGCAACAGAGAACAGAAATGCCCTACTGGCTTTCCATCTGGGATGCTCCCGTATGCACTGGATTCACCACGGATTGACAATGAGCCCAAATGGAATTCCAAAGTGCATACAGGTGAGGTTGATGCACTCCTTCGAGATCAACCATGGGAGAACAAAAGGGCTGTGTATGCACAGGGAGACAGCTCAGGGGACAGGAGTACACGGGAGGGAAGGACACAGGGAAAAGGCAACTATGGAGAGGAAGTGGGAGGGGAGTTGTTGTATTGTGGGAGATTGCAGTCAATGTCCTGAGACAAAGTGTATGTGAACTGCTGTATGGAAAGTGAATTTGCTCTGTAAACTTAAGTGGAACGCAGTCATGTCGGCACCCCTGGGCAGGGTGACAGGGTGACCACTTGGTCTGGATCACACTTGTGCCCCTAGAGAAATGACTCATCGTCTCTACTTTTCACTCACAAAGGGTTCCAGATTTAAACCATAAAGGCTACAGCTGCTCTTCTGATAGGACCTACGTAGCCCTGAGAAGAGACGTCACTGAGGAGCTCACTAACTACACATGTCAATGTCACTGCCTTTCTGTAAAGACACACACATACTGAGACATATCTGTACTGCATTCATTTTTAAGATGACTGAAGAAAGTAACACACAGGATGTTACATCCATGAAGGTAAATAAAGTCTGATTTGAGTTATAGTTTGTAATTATGTAATTACACAATTAGATAATTAAACACACACAGGAGTTATAATCCACAGTGTTCACATTTCCCAACAGAACACACTACATCATCAGAGCAGCTACAAGGACCTGGACGATGAGCAAACACTTGGTGAGAATTCTGGGGGCCTAGGAGCCTGGAGTCCCAGGGCTGCAGTGAACACACCTGGCTGCTAACCAAAATTTGGAGATTCGAGTCTATCCTGAGGCACCTTGGGAGAAAAGTCTAGAGATCTACTTCTGAAAAGTCAGTCCTACTCGGACACACATGGGGTCGCCAGGAGTCAGAATGGACTCAGCAACAGCTGGTCTGAGCAACGTGCGTCTGGAGTCTCTGGGTGGTGCAAATGGTTAACGTGCTTGGCTGCTAAAGGGGTGGCGGTTCGAGTCCACCAGAGGCACCTCTGAACAAAGCCCTGGCAATATACTTCCAAAACACCCCAGCTACTGCAAACCTTATGGAGTACAGTTTTTACTCTGACACATACACAGTCGGTGAGTCACAGTCAACTTGACGGCAAGTGGCCTGGTATGAAGGAGAGGTGGTGAGGACGAAATTCTTTCACGTCAGCCCTCACAGCAAGGCCAGGTGGGACTCTACCTACACCTGGTCCATGTCAGCTCTTCCTCTCTCCTAGCTCGCTCTGAAAATGCCCCAAGAGCGACCTGACAGGCCTCGGGACTGAGCCTGAGAACACACAGCCCCTGGCAGACCAGGCGCTAGGCTCATTTCCTTGTCACACCGAATTGGTGACTTCAGATGTGCAGGCAGCACTTCGTAGCCTGAGGAGAGGACGGGTCAGCAGAAGCTTTTCTTTTTCCTGCATGTGCCCAGGATCCAGTCCAGTGGAGTCCTGCAAGGCCGGCAGATGTGCTCACCTGTCCCATTCCAGAACATAAGAGCACTCTTGAGGCACTGAGAGATCCTCCTTGGTGCGAGCAGGAAGGGCAAGGGGGTTGTAATTAGTGCAACTGTCTTTCTTTCCTTTGCCGAGCAGTGACAGCAGACACTTTCAATGAGGCTGATTTGAGGTATAATTGTACAAGAAGGAGATCCCTGCATTGAGCCAAGTCTGAAAATCCCACATGTGCTTGGAGAAGCCAAGACCCAAGTGGATCAGAGTAGAACTGTACTCCATAAAGTTTTCAGTGGCTGATGTTCTGGAAGCATACTGCCAGGCCTTTCTTCAGAGGTACCCCTGGGTGGGCGGAACTGCCAACATTTTTGGTTAGCAGCCGAACGCATTAACTGTTTGTTATCACCCAGGGGTTCCAGACACACATTCCTCAGACCCACCTGTTGCTGAGTCCATTCCGACTCCTAGTGACACCACGTGTGTCCACAGGCCTGTGCTCCACAGGGTTCTCAAAGTCACAAAAGCTCCCAGCCATTCACATTGCCCTCCACAAAACAGTGGTTAAGAGTTTCATTTTCTTTAGTGTATTCGTGTAGTATTTAATATGCTATCGTTCTCTGGGTGACGAGAGAGGAGTACTCCCACCCGAAAACAAACAAACTTACCTCTTAGTGGCTATTGACTTCTCTTAAAAAATAGAGTCAGAAGAATACGCTGAGGGTTGGTACTGGGAGTCAACAGACATGGTGGAGATGTCTCTTACCAACAGGATGAGGGAACCCTGGTGGCGCAATGGTTAAGTGCTCAGCTGCTAACAAAAGGTTGATGGTTCGAACCCACCCAGAGGCTTCACAAGAGACCAGGCAATCTGCATCAGTCAAGATTACAGTCTAGAACACCCTATAGGGCAGGCGCACTCTGTCACTTACAGTCACCATGAGTTGGAATCAACTTGATGGCTGATAACAACACTACTACCATCACTAAGAGCAGGAAAGGCATGCTCTGAAAACAGGAAACTGCTAAGTGCACATTTGTTAAAGGGAGCACTCTGCTCCCCAACTTAGGGAGGGAGGTACCATGGAATTCTGAAAGCCTCTCAGGGTAAGAGTTCTCTTTTAATAATGTGCCCATTAGTAAAAGTTCTTTTCATAAAGATCCTTGACATAAGATCTCTTTTCAAGAGATCCTTGTCTCTTAAGGGGTGTAAGAATGTTTGTCTCCTTTCTCTTTTCTGCTACAAGCCTGTTGGCATTTGCGCTGGAAGAATTCACTGCTTAAAGTAAGCGTGGGGAAGAGGCTCAGGCGTGGGGGACTTGGATCCATGCAGACTTATGGGCTGCATGTCAGAGCAGCTGGAGGCCCAGCTCAAAATGAGTTCATTCAAAAGGCACTTTCTCGGTGTTGCTTCCTGGAAGTGCACAAGTCCTTGGCTGACTTCCATGTCCCAGCTCCTCCCTCCCTGTAGTGCTTCATCCATTATGCTTTTCTCTATTAAGATGTTAGTAAGTTGATGTGGTGCTCTGGACCAGGCCACAACGGGAGGCCAGAGTTTCCACCATGGCCAACGGGCTGCTGGGCCCACACTGAGGATGTGGTAGGTGTGGGAGCGGTGTGCCGACAGTGTGCTGACCTCGTCCCAGCCACCGGGAGCTTCATCACTCTTTTCCCCTACATGGTCACTGTAGCTTCTCCAAACAAAAGAGGTCAAACAAATGCTCTGGGAGACGAGAGTGGCGAATAGTGAAAAGCCAATCCATTGAAAGGGAGTTTCCCTAGGAGTGTGGCCTGCTTCCAAAATATATTTGGACATCCTGGGAAAAAGACAGACTCTTCTGTGTATCTGGATCCTCTTGTGCTGTCTACGACTGTCCATGAGTGAACAATCCACCATTCAGCCTGGTGACCTTGAATTCATCATCCATTGGAGTCCATAGCTTGTCAGCCCCTGCAGCTCTATGAGTCGAGAAAACCCTCCAATTTGATGTTTGATCCAGGAACTTGGGACTTGCCAGCTTCTATAACCAATCCATTGAAAGGGAGTTTCCCTAGGAGTGTGACCCGCTTCTAATACATATTTGGACATCCTGGGAAAAAGATAGACTCTTCTGTGGATCTGGATCCTGTTGCGCTGCCTACAACTGTCTGTGAGTGAAAAATCCACCATTCAGCCTGGTGATCTTGGATTCATCATCCATAGGAGTCAATAGCCAATATACTGGCTGCCAACCTTGAGCTTGTCAGCCCCTGCAGCTCCCTTTACTGGTTTTGCTTCTCTAGAGAAGTCAGCCTAACACAAACATCATAGCAACACGCAAGCCTCCACTGACAGATGGTGGCTATGCGTGAGGTGCACTGGCTAAATTCGAGGGTCTCCCATATAGAAGGACTTCCGGTAAGATGGGAGAATAGGCAGACAAGCGACACAGACCCTCTTCAACAAAGAAAAGAAAAACAAATTGACAGAGATACAGAAGATAATCCTGGAGCTCTGAGCTTTGAAAGGGTCTATATAGAAGTGGATTAGGCACCAATTAGTGGAAAAACCTGAACGAAAACAGGACCTAAGAATAGGCTTTGTTTGCCAAGGTCGGCAGGGACATACAAGAGGCTGACAACAGGAAAGGAGATAGGTGGTGAGTGTATAAGTGCTGTCAACTAGTGAATAGAGGAGCACAGCACAATACCCTGCTTGCGTAGATAACATACAAAGAAAATGAAAATTGTGGGCAAGTCATTCCAAGATACAATCACCAATTAAATATAAACACAAAAACATCACAATGCCTCGGAGACAACAGAGCATCACAGTCCACACAAAGAAGCAAGATAAAGCAGGAGAAACAAGGGACCACGATACAGACCCAAAACACATCCCTGA